ATCAAAAGGACGACATCGGAGAAGAGGGATTCGTCAATGCATACTATGGGGCAGTGGTACTCAAAAGACTTCTCATATATACCCTTGAATGTGGCTACACGTATGATGACTTACAAAATATCTTCTTTGAAGAGGAGATGGAGAAGCTGTCGAAACGTGACACAACGATGGATGAGATGAGAAAGACCACAGCGGCCCGCGACGCCCTTGACCGACAAGATGTCATGGTCAGAAGAATCATTGCAGGTGCATACAGGGTGAATGCTGTTTATTTCTTCAGGAACGTCGACTTTCAAGACACAATCACACTGAACCCAGTTGACATTGTGTGTGCTCTTCGTCCCGCACTTCGAAGAATATCACTTTTACACCTGATCCTTCAAAATGGCCGACAATTGCCACGACCTCTACTCCAGAAGCTGTATGATGCGATCGATGACTACAACCACATCAAGCAGCGGGACGATCAACGGCCAAGATGGGGCATCCACATGTCTGACGCTCACATACTTGCGATTGCTGATACCCCAACTCCTGCTGATCGTGAACGTGCTAACCAAGCCGCTGGCAAATCGAAAGCAGCCCCGAAAGCGGCAACAGCACTGGGCAGGGTGTCAAAAGCGAAAGCATCATCGTCAGCAACTTGGAGAACAGTTGAAACCGCTCCTCCGCCAAAACAAGCTCCAGTGACCCCGCCACAGAAAGGTGGAAAAGACAAAGGGAAAGGTGGAAGATCTTATTCGCATCGTGGTGGCGACTGGAACCAACAGGGATACTATGGATGGGGATATAGATGATGAATCGATATGACCTCTGCATAGGTCCTGATTGAACCGGGCGATGCGAGGATGCAATCATTGCTCGAGATTTACCTCTACTTCATTTTGAATGATTTCTGAGAGGACTCTGAGCCGGCTAATTTAGAACCACACATTTTTTTTGAACGTCATTGCACGAGACGCTGAGTTTCTACAGCGGTCTACATCTCAACCGACGAAGGAACGGGAAGGTAAACTTCTAGTTCCATAGTCAACTTTGTATTATGATTTCTTTAATTCACATGCTTGAGTGGGATTCCATGCTGGCTACGCCACATCGGATGAACCTCAATGCTAGACACCGACTACGTCGTGTCTACGTGCACGTGAACAGAACCTTTTATCTTTTGGTAGAGATCGTAGCAAGCCGCCATGTAGATTTGAAGTTCTGAACGGACTTTAGCTCTCCATAATTCAATAAATGAACAGCTGCAAATGTAGTGGATCAATTCAAGAGACACTCCTTTGCGCGTAGCCAACAAAGTTGGCTATGCGTGGGGGGTGCGAATAGAGTGTAGGCTACGTACGATTGTATATTCACATATAATTCGACACTCTAGGATCCAATGCCAAAGGGGTATATCAAACTGGCCTCTTTGGCTCAAGACCCACTGCAGCACCAGAGCAAAGAACTGCCATGCGGAAGCCGCCATCCGAGTGAAGTCGTCACCGAAGTACTTGCTTCAATCCCAAGTACCAGGACATAATCGGACAGGCAATCCCCGATTCACATATCATATACATATACATATAATAAACCCGGCGGAAGGGAAACCGCGCGAGCGTTTTGATTGGTTGTTTCCAGGAGAGTCACAATCACCTGTAATTTACAATATAAAATGCTCTTCCGATCAGTTTGGATAACTGAATTTGGGTTAAAAAAAGTGGATGCAAAATCTATTGATTTTTAACAAATCCAGGTAAACATCATGTTTTAACAAATCCAGGTAAACATCATGTGCATCCGCAGATGATCTCAGCAGCGTAGCAACATGTCACGTAGTAAGCGATCCCAGAGATCTTAGCAACATGGCAATATATCATGTACGAAGTACAAGGGACGTTAGCATGCCCCCCCACCCCACCCAACCCCAACCCCAACCCACACCAGAGATCTCAGCAGCGTAGCAACATGTCACGTAGTAAGCGATCCCAGAGATCTTAGCAACATGGCAATATATCATGTACGAAGTACAAGGAACGTTAACATGCCCCCCCACCCCACCCCAACCCCAAGACAAAGAGCAATACTCAAAAAAGAAGCAAAACGCACGTACGGTTTTCCTGCCGTAGGCATATACATATACATATACATATACGTATACATATACATATACGTATACATATCATATACATATACATATACATATACACATACACATACATATACACATACACATACACATACATATACATATACATACGGTACATATACATATACATATACATATACATATACATATACACATACATATACATATACATATACACATACAGATACAGATACATATACATATCATTTACATTTACATATACATATACGTATACATATACATATACATATACACATACATATACATATACACATACAGATACAGATACATATACATATCATTTACATTTACATATACATATACATATACGTATACATATACATATACGTATACATATACGTATACATATACATATACATATACACATACATATACATATACACATACAGATACAGATACATATACATATCATTTACATTTACATATACATATACATATACGTATACATATACATATACGTATACATATACGTATACATATACATATACATATACACATACATATACATATACACATTCAGATACAGATACATATACATATCATTTACATTTACATATACATATACATTTACATATACATATACATATACGTATACATATACATATACGTATACATATACATATACGTATACATATTCATATACGTATACATATACATATACGTATACATATACAATAAAAGACAATATAATATATTATATGTTATATTGTATATTATATGTACGCCCTATGTTTCCTGGTCAGATCCTGAAATCTGGTGAAACCAGACAAGCCGCAGGCAACACGTCTTGGAAGCCGCGACGCTCATGCAGCGCACTTTATCGAAAGATGCCTTCGCTGAGGCGCCATGGCATACGTGTTACATCGTACACATGATATATATATAATATGTATCCACATACATGTGGTTGTTTGATCTTAGATGATATCATGTTTGTTGAATTTTAGATACTGATTATGAATCTAGCATGATATATACATGAAAATATAGTAACTGAGTCTTAGTAGAGTCTTAGTATACTTTATACATGATCTCTCCTCCCTCTATACATTTCAGATATATTACTAACATTTTCTAACGTTAGTAATCACATTAGGCACATTAGTAATGAACCCTACCCTAGTAGTCACAGATATACTACTATATTGCTATATTACTAACCTTAGTATTCTCCTTAGTCAGATATAGTAATAGAACTGAGGATAATTACCTAATTACTCAGGTTAGATCTCATTACTATCTTACTAACTTCAGAAATCCTTGATATATTTCTAACCATGTTTATATCATTACTAACTTTAGTAATCACAGATATATTACTATACTACCATATTAATGACATTACTATATTACTATTATACAGATTTATTGAATATAACCATATTATATTACTATTATTACTATATAACTTTAGATAACCATACATTTTTACTATCACTATTATATTACTATTAGATAACTATTAGATATAACTATATTATATTACTATTACTATATTACATATTATATCACTATATTATATCACTATTACTATTATTAGTATATAACTTTATATAACCATACATTTTTACTATCACTATTATATTACTATTAGATAACTATTAGTAGTATTATCCTATTCGTTTTTTTCACATGAGAACATCACATGGCCAGGCGGATGCCATCTCTCAAGCCTTAGCCAGCATGGACTTGGTGGCCTCCGTGGGACCTAGCTCGCCCGAGGGCGCGGGGCTCGATGTTTTCGAAAACAGGGGGAGACATGATACACACATATTAATGTAATTGATATTAATATATGATTTATATAGGATTGATATATATATATATATACATACATATATATATACATTTGATATATATATATATAATTCATGTATAATCATATATAAAATTATCTTCCGGCGATTTAACATATCTACAGTATAGATGGACCATTTATATAGTTGGATGATTTAGATAACATGAGGATTTTCTATAGCTATCTTCAATTACCAGAGGGTGATCATCAAATATCATCATGGTGGATTGGTCAAAAATAAAGAGAGATACTAGCTGTTTTATTTGCGAATCTTGCCGCCCATCATACCTCCATCCCAATGAACCAGACAGTTTGGAAGGGATTACCCTCTGGTAAACTAACATAACTATGGAAAATCACCATTTTTAATGGGAAAACTCACTATAAATAGCCATTTTCAATAGCTATGTAACAAATTACCAGAGGGTACATAAGGTTCACACTGCTCATGATTCTTGGGAGATTTCAGGTGAATCCCATGTTGGTTGTGTTTGTTGTAATCCCAGGGATTCATCCAACCAAGTCACAACCATCCAAGCGTGGCATGGTGCCTTCATGGTGGCTTTCGGCTCCGAGTTTGATGCTTCACCGCATCCAAACGACTTTCTCTTGATCTGCTAGCTTTTGGGAATTGTTCTCTGCATCGTGAATTGGCTTCATCTAGATATATAATGATATATAGTTTATTATGATATATAATGATATCTAGATATATAATGATACAATGATATATTTATTGATGTTTATTAATGTTTATTGCTGGTAAACTCCCAACTTTGTTGCCTTTTTTCTTCCTGTGAAATCTCCATGGCAGCTGAATCAGCGAGACCCCTTTTTCGACTGTCGCAGATTCCAAGATTGACCACGCCATTTGCCAGTCGTCAGATTCCTAGCTATCTGGCTATCGCGAATTGATTTTCCCATGTGGGTATGGATCAATACCTATTAATACCATTTTTAGGGGGATGAACATCCATTTACCAGCTATTTTGATGCAAGGTTTTGACACTGCCATGTGTTTCCCATAGGTTTCCCATAGTTTCCTTGCTGATGAAGCCCCGCAAGAAGCCGATCCCTCGTGACAAAAACAGCTTCTGCAGTGCGGCCTTGCAGCTGTTGGCCGGATCCCAGGGATCCCAGGTGCAGACCAGGTCTGGTGGGGTTTCTATGTTCCATGGAAAAAAACCCACCATAAATTGGGGATTTAAGATAATTTAACCAGGGCATATTGATATGATCATGTAGATATATATATATATTGTATATATATATATATTGTAACAATGTGTATTATATACAAATATAATGTAGATGGATGTATACATATGTATACTCTATATGATGTATGGGTGCGTTCGAAACTTGGGGATTTTCAATTTTGCCCAGAAGGCTAGTGATTTTCCAAGCCATATGGATGGTCCCTGAGGTCACTGGCGCTCCAAAAGGATGCAGCCGCACGGCCGGATCGCCGGCGCATTCGCTGGAACATGGGGCCATGCCAACACAACACCTGGGTTTTGGCCCTAGCGCAGTTAGATCTGGAAGCTGAAGTTGATAGCCTGAGACAGTGGCGGGGCTTTCAGAGTCTTGGACCAATTGGATCCAATTTTTCGGTGTTTTTTTTTCTCAGTGGGGTGAATCCTGGGGAGCAATGACAAAATGGCAGGATCGGATCCAATTGCTTCATCGTTCGCATGAATGTGGAGTTCTGTCACGACAAGCACCAGCTTGCAAAGGTCTTGCAAGAAGTGCCTTCCGCCGCTGGTTGGGTACCTGAGACCTACTTGAGCATTGAGGACTTTGTGAACTCTGGGCAACATGAAGGTGCCTGGAATGCCATTGACTCTACCTTTACGGATCTCTAGGGCCTTGGGCTTCCTTTTTTCGTTGCTCATCATGAAGACAAGAAACCGCCTGGTTTCAGACTCAAGCCTCAGCTCTAAGTAGCGGGATAATGTACTGTAAAAACAGAACTTTGTCTGGATTCAACTCTTCCCCCTCCATGGAACTCAGTCATCGAACTTCCATGGTTCTTTCCGCGGGGAAACTAAGCTAGAAATGAATGTTGCAGCTTTCATTTGAGTTTTACGATCTTCCCAAGATTAGATGGTCATGATTTTCCATAGTTTCCATCTTTCAACTTTCAACTTATACTTGAAACATTTCATGACAATCGTTTCCTTTTACTATCTGAGTTTGATCCCATTGACCCAAAGACAACACAAGTTTAGCTTTCTCTCTCTTGTTTTGAAAAGAATTTCATATAAATATATTTTGATATACACACATACTATGTATATATATATATGTGTATATTATATATATGTATATATATATATTATATATATATATTCCCAACAGCAGGGCCTGTTGGGTTTCAATCTCTAGGGCTGGGGCTGGCTCGCGGGGACTTGCAGCCTTCAAAATCCGGAATGAACCCTGGAACCCTGGAACCCTGGAACCCTGGAACCCTGGAACCCTGGAACCCTGAAACCTTGGAACCCCTGGAACCCTGAAACCTTGGAACCCCGGAACTGAAACCCTGGAACCTTCAAACCCTGCGACCGTGGAACCCTGAAACCTTGGAACCTTGGCACCCTGGAACCCTCAAGGATTCTGGAACCCTGCAACCTTGGAACCCTGGAACCTTGGAACCCTGCAACCCTGCACACCTGGCACCCTGCTGGGATCCTGGAACCCTGAAACCCTGGAACCATTGGAACCCATTGGAACCCTTGGAACCCTGGAAACCCTGGAAACCTTGGAACCCTGAAACCGTGGGACCCTGGTACCCTGGTACCCTGGTACCCTGGAACCCTGGAACCCTGAAACCTTGGAACCCCGGAACCCTGGAACCCTGGAACCCTGGAACCCCGGAACCCTGGAACCCTGAAACCCTGGAACCTTGGAACCCTGCGACCGTGGAAGGCACCCAGGAACCCTCAAGGATTCTGGAACCCTCTGGGATCCTGGAACCCTGAAACCCTGGAACCCTTGGAACCCTTGGAACCCTGGAAACCTTGGAACCCTGAAACCGTGGGACCCTGGTACACTGGAACCTTGGAACCCTTGAAACCCTAAAACTTCCAAACCCTAAACTCTATGCGCGCTGCGCGCGCTGCATGCAATAAAGTAAACCCTAAAACTTCCAAACCCTAAACCCTAATGCGCGGTGCGCGCGCTGTGTCCCAGAGAAGTAAACCCTAAAATTTCCAAACCCTAAACCATCGTGTTATGCAACTTCCAAACCCTAAAGTTTAACCCGCGGTGCGCGCGCTGCATGCAATAAAATAAACCCTAAAACTTCCAAACCCTAAGCCCTAATGCGTGCTGTGCGCGCTGCGTGCCAGAGATAAACCCTAAAACCTTCAAACCCTAAACACTAATGCGCGCTGCGCGCGCTTTGTGCAATAGAAATAAACCCTAAAATCTTCAAACCTGAAACTCTCGTGTCATAGAGGTAAACCCTAAAATTTCCAAACCCTAAACCCTAAACCCTAACGCGCGCTGCGCGCGCTGTGTGCCATAGAAGTACCCCTTAAAATCTCCAAACCCTAAACCATCGTGTCATGGAGGTTAACCCTAAAACTTCGAAACCCTAAAGTTCAACCCACGCTGTGCACGCTGCATGCAATAAAATAAACTATAAAACTTCCAAACCCTAAACCCTAATGCGCGCTGCGCGCACTGCGTGCCACACACATAAACCCAAAAACTTTCAAACTTTAAACCGTAACGCGTACTGCGCGCACAGCCTGCCATAGAGGTAAACGGTTAAACTTTCAAACGCTGCGTGCCATAGAGGCAAAGCCTAAAACTTTCAAACGCTAAACCGTAAAGCAGGCTGCGCGCGCTGCGTGCCATAGAGTGCTCCTCAAAAGTGATTACATGTCATACTTTAGTGGCATCCTCCAAATTCATTAGTCAGCCTTTGTTAATCCAGGGCCCATTTTACACATGTCATCTTCTTGGTCGTGGCGCCATTTCAGGATCACACTGATGACCTAAGCTTTGGCCTTAACTATTATGCAGGCAAGCGACATCAGCACGCTATGGTATTGGAAGACACAGGGTTTGCCCGTAGACCAGCCAAAAAATCGATTTTCCACACTGAACAATTGGATTTAACACATTTAGAATAGGAGCTCCGCCTGATTCAGATTTCATCACTTAAAAGGTACCCATGCCTGACTAGCCTTCATGACTTAAAGCGTAACCACACCCGACTTAAGGGAACCATGCCTGACTAGCCTTCATAATTAAGAGGTACCCACCCACGCCTGACTTAACAGAACCCATGCCTGACTAGCCTTCATAATTAAAAGGTACCCATGCCCCCTGAATTCAGGGAACCATGCCTGACTAGCCTTCACAATTAAAAGGTACCCACTGGAACCATGCCTGACTAGCCTTAATGACTTAAAAGGTAACTACACCTGACTTAATACCTGATTTACTGGTTTTGCCTGATTTTGGAAAAACGCAGGGCCGGAATTTGCAGGGCGCGGGCCGGAATTTGCCGGGCCCGGGCCGGAATTTGCCGGGCTGGGATTTTGGGGTCGTGCCTAAATAGGATTTTTGCAAAAATCGTGCATGACTGAAGGGAACCATGCCTGACTAAACATCATACCAATCATCCCAAAAGAATCCAATAATTCCAGCAAGTGATGCCTGACCAATCCCTGCGTCATAATAAACCGTCTGCCCCTCCCCACCCAATAATGAACACACGGAATAGTTTTTTGTATTTAGTGGGTATTTAGTATGAGGGTGCGAAACTTCCCCCTTGGTTAAAAAAAACTAAATTGGAAAACATTTTTTAAATAACATCTAACTAAAATATTGCCAAAATTGGATTCCGAAGCTTCCCCCTGACATTAAATTGAAAACATTCGTTTAAAAAAATGAACTTTATATTTCAAAACCGATTGAATTCCTATTCAAAATCTAACTCAAATCTTGCCAAATTGGATTTCGAAGCTTCCCCTTATATTAAATTGAAAACCTTACTAATCCCCACCTCCTTTTACTAAACGTACCCTAAATACTAAAATATTACATTGATTCCTTTTACTAGGGTCCGCGTTAAATTTTGGGAAATTTCAGGCTGGCCAGTTTGACTTTTAATTGATACCTTTTCAAAAACAAATTAAACATGAAGGTCCCATTTCAGGATTTCACCACCAAAAAATAAAAACTAGTCAGCCCTGGTGATTTTTTAAACTAGGGTCTTTTAAGGTCGAAAAAAAAAGTATTTTATATTACAACGTTTATATAATATTGGGGGAAAACTTCGAAATCCACTTTTTGGCATTTCCTGGCAATATTTTTGCTGCATGTCAAAAGGAAATCTAATCGATTCTTGAAATCGAAAAAACATAGTTTTTTTTTTTTAATTAGTGTTTTTTTAATTTAATCTTAGGGGAAAACTTCGAAATCCAATTTTTAGCAATATCTTAATTATATGTTAGACAGAAAACTAATCGATTTTGAAACAGTTTTTTTAAAAATATATTGGGGCTGGTAATTTAATATTAGAGGAAACATTTCGAAATCCGGTTTTTGTTTTTATTTTTGTTACTACAATTTAAAAGGACATCGAATCGATTTCAAAAAAGAAAAAACAATTTATATTAGGTTTTTTTAATGTAATATGAGGGGAAAACTTCAAAATCCAATTTTTGACCATATTCTAATTAGATTTCAAAAGGAAATCTAATGAATTTTGATATAGAAAAAATAGTCTTTGATATGAGGGTTTAATATGAGGGGAAAGCTTCGAAATCCAATTTCTGGCAATATCTTAATTTGAATTTACAAGGAAATCTAATCGATTCTGAAATAGAACAAATTTAGTTTTTTATATTGGAATTTTTCATGCAAGATTAGGGGAAGCATCGAAATCCAATTTTTGAACATATTTTAATAATTGGATTTTAATTTGATATTAGGGGAAAGCTTCAAAATCAATTTTTTGTTTTTTTCATTAGATTTCAAAAGGAAATCTAATCGATTTTGAAACAGGAAAAAAAACAAAATGATATTAGGGTTTAATATAAGGGAAAAGCTTCGACATCCAATTTTTTGGCCATATTTTATTTAATTTTTAAAAGGAAATCTAATCGATTTCGAAATAGAAAAACATACATAGTTTTTTTATGTTGGGGGTTTTTATTTGATATTAAGCTTCGGAATCCACTTGTTTGCCATATTTTAATTGGATTTAAAAAGAAAGAAATCTGATCGATTTTGAAATAGAATATGTGTATATATATATATATGTCTGTTTTTTATCAGTATTAGGGGGAAGCTTCGTACCCTAATACTAAAGACCCCCCCAATACTAAAAACTCCTCCAGGTGTTTGTTATTTGGGTGGGTGGGTGAAGGGGCGACTGTTTAGCAACAGGGGGAAGGGATTAAACCGTTTTTCGCTTCTAATTTCAAAATCCATGAAAATTATCTTCAAATAGAATACTGCCAAGAATAGGATTTCGAAGCTTTCGCCTAGTATCAAATAAAACACCAACACCTGAATTAAAAAAACTAAAATTGACGATTTTAAAGGACGGACCCCAATAAAAGACACCCCGGTGTTGACTAGTTTTTTATTCTTTGGGGGTGAAACCCTCACATGGTACCTTCATTTTTTAAATTGTTTCCTCAAGGGGATCAATTAAAAATCAAATTAACCAATTTGACATTTCCCAAAATTGGAAATCGCACCTAGTTTTTGTTATTTGGGGGTATTTTTCGAAATAGGGAGAAAGGATTAGCAAAAAGAATGCCTGATCAAAATGATGCTGATTCTGTGTGTTACAATCTTTTTGCCCACTACAGTGTCTACAGGGTTACAAGGGATGCCGTGCCAGCTAGAGTCCCAAGTCCATTCAACCAACACCCTAATCGATGAAGTTGGACTTGTTGAAATGGAAGTGGGACTGGACCAGTTGACATGGGGCGATGCTGACCTTCAACGGGAGCTTCGGCGCCTGAAGGACAACAGTTTGAAAATTCCGAACCTGAAATATATTTTCAAAATTGCCTTACTAAGAGTGATCCCCACCCTGACACACTATTCTGACATAGTTTCTGACATATCATCTGGACGTATATGTGGCATATATGTTCTGACATACTATCTTACATTCTTTTCTGAGATTCTATTTGACATTCTTTCTGGCATCCTATCTGGCATCTATTCTGACATACTTTCTGGAATATACTATATTCTGATCCTGCCTTGCCATGAGTTTGGGCTGGGAGTGCTTTTATTTGCGTGGATCAATGCCAATGGCTTGAATATCCACCAAATGTTGGTTTCACATGTTTGCACCCAATGATTGCCATTACCATTGATACCCCAAAATGGCCAGGTCCTGAATTTGAGAGTAGGTCCTGAAAAGTTTTCTGGGCACTGAAAAAACAGGACTTTGGCACAGGGTCTGAAAAAAGACGTAGGTGGAAGATTCAGGTATGCTGTTGGGTTGCAAAGCTGGGTTAATATATTATATGTATGTGTGTGTTTGCCTCTGATTTTCAACCCTTTGTTGACTTCACGACGAGGCACTTCCTCGTGGTTCCTGAAGATCTCGGACGTGGACTACGGCTGCGGCGTGCGCAGCTTCCGCTGCCCGGTGCAGCGCGAGGAGCTCCGGCAGCTCTTGGAGCTGAGCCGCCTGGAGGCGCAGCAGGCACTGGGACAGCTGCGGCGAGCCAAAGGTGGGGCCACTGGGGGGTTGGGTGTTAGGGCCTAGGGTTCATTCAAATGGGCTTGATGGATGATGGATTATGATGGATTTTGGGATTAGAAAATTAGAATGAATGGTTTTTATGGATTTTTCTTTTAATGGTTGATGGATTTAATAGAATGGGGATGTGTCAATACCTATCATTACCACATGACTAGGGGAATAACCATCCATTAACCAGCTATTTTGGGGTACCCAGGGTCCCCCTGTTTTGATTCATAGCCATTTTTGATGGGTTAGCACATCAAACAGGTGTCTGAAAATAGGGGATCCCTTGGAATGGGGGGCACCCCATTGGCTCCATTACTGTAATCCCTTGCCCCTATTACTAAACCCCCTAATAACAAACACCCGGAGGAATCAATAGGCAAAATTAGGGGGTCTTTAGTATTTTTCTGCGAAGCTTCCCCCCCAATGCTAAATGTTCAACCTTAATAATTTGGAAAAATACAATATTTTTTTCTATGTCAAGATCGATTAAATTCCTTTTTAAAGTCCAATTAAAATATTGCCAAACAATGGATGTCGAAGGTTCCCCTAATATTAACTTAAAAACCTTAATTTAAACAACTAAAACTTTTGATTTTAAATGACGGACCCTAATAAAAACACCCCGGTGTTGATTAGTTTTTTAGTGTTTTTTTTTTTTAAAGTAGGGGTTGAAACGGTGAAACCCTCAAATGGGACCTATCAATTAAGGGTCAAGTGGGCAAGTTTCAAATGTCCAAAAAATCAATTGGACCTGAGTTTTTGGTATTTGGGGTACGTTTAGTAAAAGGGGGAAGGGATCAATATGGGGGTTTGGGACTATATGATTACAATGTATTATTTGTTATAATGGATATGCATGGATTATATACTGGTTGATGGTTGAAACATGTGAACACGCCTGTTGGTGATGAATGCTGGCTACATCCAATGGATTGTTTGGATGAGTTTTTGGTTTGTCTGAAAACAGGGGATACCCTCTAAATATCTCCAAATATAGCATTCTTGATCAGAAATTTCCATGATAGTTCAGTGGAATTGGATTAACCATGGAGCCATACTCCCTATTCATGCCATGCTTGGCGAAGTCCCATGAGATGGTGCTATTTTTTGATGGCATTTTGATAAGGGGTTTGATGGGATGATGTCATGGGCTTTGGGATGTTATTAGAAGCGTTTAATATTGATTACTTATGATTCATTATAATGGACGTTGGGATTTTTATAAGGGTTGTTAAAACATGTTAAAACCTCTGTTGGTTGTGAATGATGATTAAATCCCATTATAACCAAACATATGGGAATCACCATTTGCTTATTAGGGCTTTTAGCCATAATATGCCATAATAATCATCGTGTCTCAGATTCCAGAAGCCCCCAAAATCTCATGGTCTACCCTCTGGTAATTTAACATAGCTATTGAAAATTGCCATTAGTAGTGGATTTATCCATTGAACATGGCGATTTTCCATAGTTTTTTGTAGGTTTACCGGTTTACCAGGCCGGGTATCATCAAAATGGTGGCTATGAAAAAACATGCCATCCACTGATTGCCACTGGGGCATCTGCGCCAGGTTGCAAGCCGCGGGAGCTCGGAGATCAGATTGTAATCCAAAAGGCGATCAAGACCTTCGGGCAGGCCTTGGGGAGTTATGGAAAGATGTGACTGTGAGTTTTTCTTCAAGAAACCATCTTGGCTGGGAAACTGATGAATCATGATGAATCTAATACTTTTTTTTAAAAAAAAAATGAAATTGGAAATTGAAATGGACATCTAATAATCTACAAACGCAATGTTCAGCATTAAGGATCTTAAGCATCATCACATGACATGGGGATACAGAAAAAAAACAGAAATAAGCCAGATTTCTGATGGTTGGTTGATGTTTATCACATCCGGTTAACCTGGTTTAATAGGGACCCCACAGGGCATGAAATTTTTGCGAGATGGGATGCCCTTGAGGTGAACTATGACCAAGGATTTCCAGGTCTTCACTACAAAGAAGACCTGCGAGTTTATGTGTGTTGCAGCGTCAACTTGCCGCATCAGGTGGGGATGACATGGGATGACCACGACCAAGCCATGCAGGTGGTGAAACTTGGCCGTTTTTTTCGTGTTCCAGAGATGACATCCGCAGGTCTTTGTCTACCGGCGACTTGGGCTGCGCCGCGCGCCCAAACCACTGGATGGCACTTTGGATCGAGAAGTGCAGTGCACACACTACGGACACATCACACCGTCCGAATCGGTGACGGAGTGGCCACTGTATGACGTCATGTTTCCGCAGATTTGTGAAGCCGTGAAAAATGTGATGACAGTGGTCACCCCAGAGCTGGAAGACAGATGCTGCGTGCTCCTTGGGATGGATTTTATTTGCGATGATCGGCCGTACCTGCTGGAAATCAATCAAGTACCACGCTTGTGCTATGACGATCCTCGTGTTCAAGCCTGGACTCAGCGCATGGCGGTGGAGTTTCTACGCTTGGTGGTCCTTGGAAGCGTCGAAACCAACGGCTGGGTGCGGCTCTGAAAGAGCAGCACCGGCCGGCTGTACATAGATGGCGGTGGCGGTAAAACCTTGACCTCATGGATATTTTAACATGGATATTTTGAACGATTTCAATCTGAGAATCTGCTGCATGTATCTTTATGTTTTAATACCATTGAAACAAGGTCAAACGAATTGATATTCAAAACTTATCAATTGTGTCAACTGGTACTCCAATTTTTGCCATCACCCGATGTCGGCCGCCCAAAACGTGGTGCCATCAGCAGCGGGAACTTCCGCAGACGGAACAAAAAGGTCTGGTTTTTCTTCACGCTCAAATTTTGGTATGTGTCCCCATGCCATGCGGTACCCGATGATGGCAACGCCAAAACCTGTGGTCCTTTTTCTGCCAATTTGTCTTTGACCCACAAATATGTTGAAGTGCCGAGGCCTGCCGCTGGGAATTTCGGTCTCCTCCCCGAATATGAGGCGCGCCAGATAACTTTCGACCAGCGACGCAGTTGGGAGAGGTGCAAATCAGCATTTGATTTTTGACCGTTTTGGCCCAAAATTGTGAAACACATGAAAGACCTTGATTAGCATTTGGCTCAAGAAATTGCAGTGCGTGACTGTGACCTACACCGTTCGACAATTCGCAGCAATGCCGGAGTATGAGCTTTTCTACTTTCCAATCACCGGGCTTGGTGAGCCTTTGCGTTTGGTGTTCGTGCTGGGTGGGGTTCCTTTCAAAGACACCACCCCAGCCAACGACCCCAGTTTCCAGGATCGCAAAGCAGCGATCCATCCCTATGCCCCCGAGGCGGGTGGCTTGCCAGTGCTGACCATCGACGGCAAGCCCTTTGCGCAGAGCCGTGCCATCTTGCGCTACCTGGGCCGCGTATGCAGCTATGAGGGTGCTCCACTCTATCCCAGTGATCCCATGGAACAGCTGGAATGCGATGAGATGATTGAGATGGCCGAGGATCTCCGTGGCCCCTTGCTAGGCACCTTTGCTGTCCAAGACGAGGCCGAGAAGTTAGCAGCCCGAGCAGCGTTGGTGGCAGAGGATGGCAAGATGACCAAGTGGCTGAAGATCATCGACCGCATGTTGGGCAAGAAGTTTCCCACCAAGCCGACCATTGGAACCGTCTACCTTTGGAGCCTGGTTACCATGCTTCGCCAACCCACCTTCCTGGATGGAATTCCTGCGGATGCCCTGGCGCCATATGCCAACATCGCCAAGCTGCACCAGTACATGTCGCAGCTTCCACCCATCCTGGAGCACTACGCCAAGGCAGAGAAGCGCGACAACTTCAAGCCACTCCCGTAGAGGTTGTAGAGCCACTCCCGGAGGAGCCTCCACCTCGCCACAGTGCAGGTGTCTGGAAGCCATCGGCCCTTGAAGATCTGGGCTGAGGCACCTCTTAGTCTTACAGAATCCTACCGTACAGACTATTAAGGGAGAAAAACAACATCCGAAACGGAATGTGCCTGCGCCTTGACACAAAAACATGGATGCGGAGTTTCATGCTTCCACTTGTAGAATCTATGTGACATGAAGTGATTTTAAGAGCTCATGACTGTGCAGTTGCCAGGCAATCACGCGTGACCATACAGGCAGGAGGGTGCTTCAGCTGCCAGCTGTGATGCAGCTGCCAGCTGCGATTGCCAAGGAAATCAAAAGCAGTCGCAGGATGTTATCCCCATAAATGATAATTAAATGTGCATGATTTTCAATGGATTTTCGCTGGTAAGAGCAGCTGCTTGTACTTCAAAATTGCCCGGAGAGGTCTCACAGTGCAATCAGCGTGAAGTGGAAGATCATCCCCAGGAACAGCTCTCTTCGTATGATAAGTCCACTGGGCTTAGCTCATTGGAGCATAAGCCACTTTTGGAATTGCGCAACTCCTACAAGCTGGTGCCCCCCCCATTGAGTATAGTTTTTTTTTTACCCCATTAACTATGGTTATATTTCCCATAAACCCGACTTAACCAAGTTATAAGATGTTATAAGTCAACTTAGCAAACTATGTGGCACCACTATCGTTATATTCACCCCGCTTCGCGTGGGGTGGCCGCCCACACCGCAGGTTTATTTCGGTCCGTGAGAGGGGCTAAGGGTGGTTTTCCCCCGTGGGGGCTCCCCAAGCTAAGAATTTTCACTTTCCCCCCCCGTGGGGGCTCCCCAAGCTAGGGAATTTTCACTTTTCCCCCCCGTGGGGGCTCCCCAAGCTAGGGAATTTTCACTTTTCCCCCCCGTGGGGGCTCCCCAAGCTAGGGAATTTTCACTTTTCCCCCCCGTGGGGGCTCCCCAAGCTAGGGAATTTTCACTTTTCCCCCCCGTGGGGGCTCCCCAAGCTAGGGAATTTTCACTTTTCCCCCCCGTGGGGGCTCCCCAAGCTAGGGAATTTTCACTTTTCCCCCCCGTGGGGGCTTCCCAAGCTAGGGAATTTTCACTTTTCCCCGCCGTGACAGCTTCCCAAGCTATGGAATTTTCACTTTTCCCTCCCTTGGAGGCTCTCCAAGCTGCGGAATTTCAAATAGCTAGACAACGACGCCTAGATAGTCCCCCAAATCCCGTGTTCTTTGAATGTGTTTCCATGTTTTTGCAATGGTTTCCTTCAAAGCACGGTACTTTACACTTTTGTCGCCATAAAACCGGTCGAAAACATCATGTTCGACAATGCTTCCAATTCCCTTATCTCCCCAACTGTTGAAAATACCGCTATTTACAGTGTTTTCTTCAATTTTTCCATGTGCCAATGCCGGTAGCCAACTCCAACATATATATAAGAAATCCTTCCAAAACATTGTTTTTGACAGTGTTTTTCCAATGTTTCCAGTCAAACAGACGGTAATTTACACGTTTTTTGCCATAAAGGCAGTAAATCCTTCCAAAACATTGCTTTTGACAGTGTTTTTATTATGTTTCCAGTCAAACATACGGTAATTTACACGTTTTTTGCTATAACGTCAGTCCAAAACACTTGTTTTTGCAGGGTTTTCAATGCTCTGGCATCCAAAAACCCTGCAAAATCTTGCTATGTACAATGTTTTTTTCATTTTTGGCCGTTTTTCCATTGCCGGAAAGCTACCAAAATGACCCAAAATTCCATTTCAATACCCTCTTGCGCTCAGACACCCAAAAATCCTCGAAAAATGTCGAAAACACCACCGTATTCTGGTCTCGGTGCGAAACCGTTTTTGGGCCCCCCCCCCCCAGCTAAAGCTGATATAGCGACTGCTATATTAACAAATGTCATTGAGCATTTAGTGTTGCTGTTGCCCCCCAATAAGCACGCCTTCACCGCCAAAGCGGTGTGGGCGGATTTCCCATAAAGCCGTGGAAAACCACCGTGAAGATCCGTTGGGGTCCTCCAAGTTGCCTCGCAAGGTGGACCAGCCAGGGGATTTTCTGCTTGAGATCGATTCCAGCTGTGCACATCGCAGCTTGGTGTCAACTGGATCCAGCAACGGGCGGCGCTAGCCGATGGGTCATTGCCAGTCAAAAATGGTAATATAGTGATGGTTAATAGTGGTTAATAGGCTATAAACCAACAACAATGGGAATATGATGATGATCTGCTTGGTGGTTTCAAACATGACGTACTCAATTTCCATTTCATATATGGGATGTCATCCGGAACCATTGACGAACTCATATGTTTCAAGATGGTTAAAACATGTTAAAACCACCAACCAGTAAATGACAATAATATACTACAATAACATAAAACAGTGGTACAATAAATGGTACCCCAAATTTCCCCATTAACAATATTAAAATGACATGCATCAGCCCACTCCAGTTTGGGACTAACCTGCGCCGTGGTCAAGTTACGTGTTATAATATATTCCGATATATTCGGTATGGTCATCCCATGTCATCCCATCATCTACCATCATAAATCAATGGGAGTCCACTACAGATCATGGGTATATTTTGACCCCTAAATGGGGGATCATCCTTAATCCCACTTGACCATGGCACGCAGAACTATGTAGAACTGCTGGCAGGATTTCCTCCAACAGCTCTCCGCAGACGTCTCCTTTGGCGACTAGGCTGGAGCCGCATTGGCGGCTCAGTGATGGCTCATGATTTTTTGCTGGCGGATCCTCAACGAAAGCGAATTACAACAATCATGGCCCTGGCACCAATAAAAAAACATAAAATCACCATCAGACACTATCATAGAGCTATGATATAAACCATGCCATGTTTTTTTTTTCAAGTCATTCCACCAGCCCGTCTTGGGTCCTTGCCATGATCGGAGGCTACACCGTGGTGGTCCTGCCATGGTACGAGGTGAGTTTTTGCGACCCCGAGCAGCTTCGGGGCGTGCTTCGCGCGCGCCTAGGAGCCGTGGGGAATGCCCAGAGAAGTTGACTCCACAATGGGGAGATTGGTGATGTGAGGGGGTGATCAAAAGCCATGATTTATAGAGGGTTTAACTGGTTAAACAGGTATATATAGTTTAACCATGAAAAACATGGAGATTATGGAGATATCATTGATACATGATGGTTGCTAGATTATAGAGGTTCAACCATCAAAGTATGGATATATGTGCTTGATAGATTTTGAGAAATGACCGACTCTGGTCTATTGCGGGTTCCCTTCACTGAAGCAAATTTTGGATTCCGGTCTCATTCAACCCGTTCAACTGCTGGGTTAGCGAAAAACTTATGGCGGTTCATGCGAACATGGTCAAGTTATAAAGCGGTGATCCAAGAGGAAGCGTTAAATGGGGAAATATCACCAGTGATGAGGAAACATTGGAACCATTGAATTAAAACCTATGTCTTTTTTTGTTTTTTGTGTTGTTGTTCCCCAACAGCAAAACTTTGCTATGGGGTCTTTGGCCCAGATTAGCTCCGGTGCGATCCGGTGCAGCTTCAACACCAGGTTCCGAACAAGGTTCCGGAGGGTTCTGGTGCAGATACCTTGTGAGGTTCCGGAGGGTTCCGGTGCAGATACCTTGTGAGGCTCCGGAGGGTTCTGGTGCAGATACCTTGTGAGGTTCCGGAGGGTTCCGGTGCAGATACCTTGTGAGGTTCTGGAGGGTTCCGGTGCAGATACCTTGTGAGGTTCCGGAGGGTTCTGGTGTAGATGCTTTGTGAAATTCCAAAGGGTTCCGATGTTTTTTACGGCATAAGCACCGTTGTTATGGCATAAGCGCTTTATTTTCATGGCATAATTCATAAGCACTTTTTATGGCAAAAACTCAGAAGCTTTCAAGCTGTTGGGGATAGCACCCGAGTTTATTTTTGTTTGGATGCTTAGTATTTCAGTATAAAATATTGCCACCCAAAAGTGTGTAGTTATGAAATGTTATGAACATTGGTGTGACCAGGGTACCACGGTGGACCCATGTGGAAGATCTATGTGCTGATGGTGATTTCAGATCCAAAGATCAGTGAGTTCTGGGATGGCAAATGGGTCTTGACTCTTGCTCAATTTTTGGGGAAATGAGGGCATTGGTGAAAACTGCATGCTCCGACTCCGAGGTATCTCCGCCATCACCTTCCTATCTATCGGCAAAGGCTTCAGTCAGTTGGAACCACAGTCATGACGCGACCGTCGACCGTGATTACTCCAAGATACTCCAAGTACACCTGAGAGTTGGATATCTCCTTGTCATGGCAATCGAAAACATGGTTGTGAGCTACGAAGCCCTGTGGCTTGACGATCGAAGAATCAAGCAATAAATAAATATTATAAATATGTATATACATTATATATATATATATAATCTGTATATATGTATATCTATATCTATATATTATATATATACATACTCATATATATATAAAATATGTATACATATACATCAACGGGTTTTGCCTTTTGCCATGATTTCTGTGGACATCGCCGGACGACCCCAGGTGCGAAGGTAGCTCGGAGTGCCATAGGCGCCATCGCAAGGCATGGCTTGCCCGATGTCTATGTGGCTGAGCGTGAAGGAGCCGAGGGTCCGTCCTCCGTGGTCACTTGAAACCAGTTATGGCCTTTTTTTGGGGGCATAGAGGTACTTAAAAAATGGCTCAGTTGGGATGTGTCTGAAAATGAGAATTTCAGAATACCCATGAAATAGCCGTTGTTCGTTGGGAACATGATGATTTTTTCAGTGACCAAATTGGGATACCACATTTTCAGTATCCAAAAATGCACAAATTTTCATCCCAAGACAAGCAACTGGTGAGGTTAGTCCTAAAATGTCCTAGCCTCTGGTAAACATACAAAAAACTATTGAACATGGCCATCTATAGTGAGTTTTCCGTTTTCCCATTAAAAATGGTGATTTAATGGGTAAATCAACGATTTCTATGGCCATTTCGCAGCCCGGATGAGTCCAAAAACAGATCACCCCAGGCCGAGTCCCGTCGCCAGGGCCTCTTGAAAGCCAAGTCCTTACTGCTGATACCGGCGGCAGCGGAGATAGCCAAAGCAGCCAAGAAAGCAGTTCAGTGACTTGGAGGAAGTCATAGTATATATAATTATATATAATATATGTATATATAGATATAGATATAGATGTAGATATAGATATACTACACACTATATTTCAGAGTACTGATGATAAACTGGTGGTTCTGGAATGATGAAAGTGAATGATGCCGAGTTTTGGTAGCTACAACTTTTTGTGCCAACTCGTGGTTGTTGATTGCAGATATACAAGCAACATATGGGCTATTCATCGGTGATAAGGGAGAGATAACATGAGATAACAAATCATTTGGATAGTTTAGAGCGACCGAAAACGACCAACCGGCTGCCTCTTCGGTGATGTTTGATATCCGGGTTCATCCACGGCTGCCCAGAGATGTCAAGCCGTTCAAAGACTGTGAAACTGAGGCTCATTGCAGTGATTTTGAGATAGGCCGGGTCCCAGCGGGTCCAGGGATCACTTCAAGTTCATCCAAGTTTTCATCTCCAATCATTGGACCAACTTGGGGTTTCCGGGAAGTACGGATCTCTAGGGCCAACTTCTGCTCCTGACTCTGTGGTTTTTATTAAGGGGGAAACATCAATTTTTGCCGAAGATTGACACGTAATTTTCCACAAAATAAGCAGACATCCGAAAGAAATACCTAAAATCAGTAGAGACTAGAGAGATCGCCATGAAAAATCACATAATTACACACCCTCCAGTAAACTAACATAGCTATGGAACATGGACCATTTATAGATGATTTACCGATTCGACATGGTGATTTTCTATAGCTATGTTCATTTACCAGAGGGTAATATATATATATCTATCTATCTATCTATCTATCTAATCTATCTATCTATCTATCTATCTATCTATCTATCTATAATTATATATATACATATATATATATATACATATACATATATATATATATATACATATACATATATATATATACATATACATATATGTATATATATATATACATATATATATACATATATATATATATACATATATATATTTCTAAGAGAGATTCCCAAGATTCCCCAGCCGCAGGAGGGCCCAAGAGGTCCTGGAAAAGCACATCGATGACGAGGCGCGGCGACCAGGTGACCAGGTGAACACGCTTGTGGCTGCCCAGTTGAAAGTACAATTAGAATGACGTTTATTTAATGATTATGTACACACGCATATCATATATATATATTATACACAATATATGTATATATATACAATATTCAATATATATATAATTATATATAATACACAATATATATATAATGCACTATATAGATGATACACTATATATTTAATACACAATATACATAATACACTATATACGCACACACATATATATACATATATATGATACGTAATATATATATATATACACATAATACAATATATATATATACATGATATGCAATATATATATATATCATACACAATATATATATATAAATAATATGCACTGTACACACACACACACATATATATATATACGGCAAATGCCTGGGCTTTGCCCGGACCCGCAATGACGACAGGCGACGCATCATCATCATCATCATCATCAGAACTAAACCCTTATTGAAGATCTTCAATGAATGTAGAAGTTTAACGGGGGTGGGAGAATTAGACCCTTATTGAAATGAATGTAGAAGTTTAACGGGGGTGGGAGAATTAAACCCTTCTTGAAGATCTTCAATGAATGTAAAGTTTAACGGGGGTGGGAGTTTAATATTACCTAGTACGTTTGTTGATCTTCCCAATTGAATGCAAAGTTTAACGGTGGTGGGAATTTAATATTCCCTAGTACCTTTGTTGATATTCCTAATTGAATGTAAAGTTTAACAGGGGTGGGAGTATAATATTCCCTAGTACCTTTGTTGTTTTTCCCATAGGAATTTAAGGTTTAACGGGGGTGGGAGTTTAATATTCCCTAGTACTTTTGTTGATCTTCCCAATTGAATGTAAAATTTAACGGGGGTGGGAGTTTAATATTCCCTAGTACCTTTGTTGTTTTTCCCATAGGAATTTTGTGAAGTTGCATCAACATTTGTTTGGGAATGGGAAACCTCTACGCTGCAACGCCTGGGCAAAGCCCAGGCGTTGCGCGTATATATATATAGTTATATATATACATATATATATATATACATATATATATATACATATATATATATACATATATATATATACATACATATATATATATATATACATATACATACATATATATATATATACATACACATGATGTGATTATATAAGGATGCATACTTGTACATGGGGCGACAGTGGGAGCACAACTTGTTGCCTACACTGGGGGAAATAAACAACTGGCAGCTGTGCAGCTGGCCTCTCAAGTGCTATGACATAGCTCAACGGTGTACAGATCTGGCGCAGTTTTGCCATGACGGGACAGTACCTCTTTCAGGACTATGATGGAGAAGAAATGACCACAGCCATGCTGCAAGCTTTGGATCGGATTGCAGCCCATGTGGATCCTGAAAAGCATTCGTCCAAAGAGCTTGATTCCTATGGCCCAATCGCTTTGGCTGGCGTGGCACTAGCAGCTGCCAGTGGGGATGTCAAGGTGGACATACTCAAGTCAATCTGCCAGAGACTGTCGAACGAACATGCTGAAAAAACCATGTCAGAATTTTCAGCCTCCAGTCTGACAAAGCTCTGCTGGGCCCTTGCTGTTGCCAATCACCGCGACAAGAAGGTCATGGCCAAGATCGGCATGGAGATAGCCAGCCGAAGCTGTGAATTCTCCGGGGAAGAGCTGGCCAAGTGCCTCTGCGCCTTTGCCGAGTTGAGATTTTTTCATGAAGAGACTTGGATTTGTCCTCCAGTCGATGTAAAATTTTATGTTCCCATGGGTCCATCAGAAATGGGGAATTTTTCGTGGGAAGATCAACAAAAAATCTGGGAAGATGGGTCCCTTAGTTCTGGTCCCAGCCTAGGAGATGATGCCTGAACTTTCAGTCCAGCTGATGTGGAAGGTGGACCAACTAAGTGCACGAAGCCTTGCACAGGTGGCGGTCTCATGCGCACAGCTGGAGTACTGCAAGCAACCCTTATTGGATTGGTTGGCAAGCCGCATGTGTTTGCGGGACCGGACCTTGAGTGATATCTCCTCCATGGTTTGGGCCTTTGCCAAGATGTCCGTACAACATGAATCTCTTTGTGAGACTGCTGCACAAGATGCCTTAAAGTCGGAAGACTTAACCGAACAGGAACATGCCAGGCTGCTGTCGGCCTTTGGCAAACCAAATCTGGACTATCCAGTGCAAGGACTCCCTCGGCCACTCTTCCACCAATCTTTATCAGGCGCGGAAAGTGTTTGCAAACGTCGATGATTCGATGATGTATGTTGAGTGGAAGCTCAGCCAAATGCGGCTGTCTCAGCGCATGAAAAGACACGAAACAAATGCTGCTGCTTTGGTCTCTTGAGTTCATGAATTCGGGCAGGATTCTTGCCTCAAAACGGCTGGTGCTTTGCCCTTGCTTAGTCACTGTAGAAGTGCCTCAGGAGTGGGTCTCGAAGGCTACTATCCCAAGACTTCACTCTAAACTCTACCAGATCTTTCTGAATTTTGTTCTGTAATGTGTGTCCCGACGTGTAGTTTGCACCAAATTTTGCACCAAACGAGCCAAGCCTTTGAATCTGCTTTGATCTTGAAGCTCTGCAAGTATTCTGATCCAGAACAATCTGGGCTTAAATATGTTTATTTCAGTTTGCGGCCCAGCTCATTGTTAGATTTTCCCTATGTGATCGACAATGATCTGAGAGTCCTGCAATACCACCGGCCCTGTGTCCTACACTCCCGGCTATCGACTCCATCGACCAAACAGCGCTCGTGGGCAGGCCTCCCGGTCTATAAATACTATAGCCGGTGATGAGTTTTTTATTGGCGCAGGCAGCCTGGACCATAAAGGACCGTTGGGCTGAAGATGCTTTGTGGTTGCAGAGTCAAAGCATGCCACTTCTTTCATGATGTTCTCGCGTTTTGGGGGATTGCAATGTTTCTTGAGTCATCTTGAGTCCATATTGCCCAACTAGATTTTGCAAATTGAAACGGGTGGCAGCAAGCGCAGTATTTCAGGAGGACTGGGTCTTGGAGAAGGTGTTGCCCTTTCCTGTCGTACACAGGGCTTGGACAGGTAGTACCACCAGCTATTTCAGACAACTGCACTCTATGGTCGGTCATTAGGTCATTTGGCCAGTATTTAAGCGTCAAACACTTGGGTTAAGCAACAAAACTTCAGACTTTGCCATCAAAACTGATGAACCATGACCCGGTGGGTGGTGTGTAACCATCAAACTTGGGGCTGGCAGCAATAACATGTCTGACAATGCCATTTTTTGTGGGCTTCGACCCATCGATGCAGGACCAGAGCCAACACCTCCAGGCGCGAAGTAATTTTTAGATTTCGGGCCAGATTTGACCCTTGGCCCTTGTACCATACTATTACGGTGTTCTATACTCAGCAGCTGCAGAACCGCCAATGCCAACTTCTAGGAAGATAACCCTTGTCCTAAAGCAAGCGCGATGTAGAAAGCCAACCGTTTGTTGTTTTTGGCCATCTGCTGTTGCACTTTTGCAATTCAAGATTTCGTTCTGCCAGAGTTTGAACAGAATGGCAGTCCGGTAACGTTGCAATATGCCAGGGCTGCTAGGGCTTGTTTTCAGACGGCTTGTTTTAAGGTGATGGATAGAAACGCATTGAACAATACCTTAAGCATGTAGAAAACTGGTCCGAGATTCCTGCATCCCACCGGCTGATGTTCTTGGTGTCGGACAATGCCGCGAAAACACTTGCGTGCCCTGGTCCTTCAATCCCTGGAAAGACTCGATCAGGCAGCGCCTAGCATCTTGAAGAAGTAAATGGGTATGTCCGAAAATGGTCGATTTATGCACCATGTATTATGGCAAACTCTAATATGGTACAATGATGATCAACAACAATGGCAGTCTGGACATTCGGAACATGGTTTTTCCAATCTGTTGGATTCCAATGGTACCCCATGAACTCGGACAAGCTCAAAAGTTGTACCCTCTGGTAAACTAACATAACTATGGAAAATCACCATTTTTAATGGGAAAATCCACTACAAATGGCCATTTTCAATAGCTATGTTAAATTACCAGAGGGTGAGTAGTTGTTGCATGTTGTTGCATTCATCAGGTTGCTGGAACTTGGGCATTGCTATGCATTGTTCAAGATTTAGCCATCGGTTTTTCTGACCAACTTAAGATGGCCAATGATTGCTGCGGGCTGCTTTGACGTGAGGATGTGGGTAATGTCGGACCCCCACCTCAAACAATTTTTCGAGTCTCTTTAGTGTGGAAATTTTCAAGCGCACGGGTCTGAACAATGTAAAATCAAAAAACAATTGATAGATTTCAATTGATTTCAATTTACTTTCAATTGATTTTCAATTGATTTCAATTTACTTTCAATTGATTTCAATTTACTTTCAATTGATTCTCAATTGATTTCAATTTGATTTCAATTGATTTTCAATTGATTTCAATTTACTTTCAATTGATTTTCAATTGATTTCAACTTACTTTCAATTGACTTTCCATTGATTTCAATTTACGTTCAGTTGATTTTCATTTGATGTCAACTTACTTTCAATTGACTTTCCATTGATTTCAATTTACGTTCAATTGATTTTCATTTGATGTCAACTTACGTTCAATTGAGATCTCATAGTAATTCTATAGAAATATCATAGAAATATCATGGAACTGCCATAGGAATCTCACAGAAATCCCAAAAGAACCTCATAGAACATCATAGAAATACCATAGAAACCTCATAGGAACCCAATGGGAATCCCATAAGAATACCATTGAATTCCCATAGCATCCCTTCAGAAACCCCATAGAAATCCCCTAGAAATATCATAGAATCATCATGGAAATCCCAGAGGAATCCAATGGAAGTCCCATAGACATCCTTTTGAACCCCCATAGGAATCCCATAGAAATACCATTGACACCCCATAGAAATCCCATAGTAGTCCCAGAGAAAAATAGACATACCGTGGGAACCCCACAGGAATCCAATAGAAATCCCATAGAAATATCATAGAACCATCATAGAAATTCCAAAGAAACTTCATGGACACCCCATAGAGTTCCCAAAGAAACCCTCTAGACATATCATAGTTTTTTTTTTTTAAATACCATAGTAATCTCATAAAATATAGAAATCCAAGAGAAATATCATGTACATCCCAAAGAAATCCCATAGAAACATCATGGAAATCCCATAGGAATCCAATGGAAATCCCATAGACATTCTTTTGAAACCCCATAAGAATCCCACAGCACTACCATAGACACACCTTTAGAAACACCATAGAATATCATAGAAACACCAAAGAAATTATATACATAGAATTTCCATAGAAATTTTGTCAAAATCCCATAGAAACGCCATAGAAACCAAGGAGAGGATGCCAGGAGAATTGAACTAAGTAAGAGACCAAAGCTATAGCAAAGGAAAGGAAAAGGAAAGGAGACAATGATTTTGGAAAATGTTTACTTCCAAAAAAAAACACTGGACACAATAGAGGACCACCACAACAAACATACTATTGAGGATCAGGGTTGCTCATGGACTACCCCCTTGAAAAATTGTTTGGATGCTGTTTTTTTTAATTGGGTTTTAATAAGGCATCATATATTTTGGGAAATTGGGCATTTCTGAGAATTCCAAAAAAATGGAGCCAAGAAAGTAAAAACGAGAACAGTATTAGCAAAGGAAAGGAAAAGGAAAGGAGAGAATGTTTTTGGATTTTTTTTACTTCCAACAAAAGCTGGACACAATGAAGGACCACCACAACAAACATACATGGACTACCCCCTTGAAAAATTGTTTGGATGTTGTTTTTCTATTGGGTCTTAATAAGGCATCCTATATTTTGATATATTTTGTGAAACAAAACATTTTGAGAATTCCAAAAGAATGGAGCTAGGAAAGTAAAAAAGAGAAAAGTATTAGCAAAGGAAAGGAAAAGGAAAGGAGAGAATGATTTTGTTGTTTTTTTACTTCCAAAAAAAAAGGACACAATAGAGGACCACCACAACAAACATATTATTTAGGATCAATATTGCTCATGAAAAATAACTGAAAAATGAAATAAAATGTTCTTCAGACAACAGTTGGACACAATAGAGGACCACCACAACAAACATATTATTTAGTATCAATGTTGCTCATGAAAAAAAACTGAAAAACATGAAATAAAAAATTCTTCAGACAACAGTAGGGCACATTAGAGGACCACCGCAACAAACATTTAGGATCAATATTGTTCATGAAAAAAAAACTGAAAAACATTAAAAAAATCTGAAAACATGAAATATATATATATATATCTATTTGAAAAAAAATGATTAATTACAAAAAACAGAAAACATTGAAATAAATTAAACAATAAATTAAAAACTAATTTAAAACACTTTAACAATTTAAACAAAATAAAGAAAAACTGAAAAATACACCATTTTTTTTTCTACAAAACCGACCCACCCAATCAATTTCCCTGGGTCTGAATTATTTCAGAAAAAAATCTACAAAAGGGACCCACCACAGTAATCAGGAGCCAAAATTAAGACAAAACCCCAGACCCGGAGCCAGAGCAAATGCCTGACAAGAAATGGATGCGAATGCGGCTGCAGGGAAACATGCCAGGGTTTGTCTGAAAATAGGATAACCAAAAATCCAGTGGTCTGTGGTTAGTCATCATATTTCAATATGTCATCATGTTCCCTCTTGAACGAAATTCGGGGTATACCCCATTTTCAGACACACCCAAGAAGCATTTGTGTTTGAACAAATGAGAACTTGAAGGTCTTGTTGGGTCAGACGGAGCTGGTCCGCGCTTGCATGCCATCTCACTTGGTGGGTCAAAATTGTTGATGCCAAGGGGATGGTTTAAGACTGAAAATGACCAACATTTTTTATTGCCCATTGCTGGTTGGTGGTTTCACACATTTTTTATTTTCCATAAATTTTCCATAATATGTGGGATAATCCTTCCCATTGACTCATATTTTTCAATGTGGTTACAACATGTTAAACCCACCAACCAGATTGGTATTGTGAGCCATACCCACTTCTCTGGTGTTGCAAACCCGCACTGCTCAAGCATTTCTGTGGACCTATGGGGATCTTTCGAAGGTGCGACGTGCCACAGAGGTTTCACCCGTTGAATCGATTGTGGTAGGCGTGTTTTGCATCGGCGACACTACTGGAATGTGTATTTGAGTTGGTAAATGGTGAATTTCCATGAATATCCACAATTGGGTTCTATACATTATATATCCCATAATATGCGTGTTGCAACTAGTTGCAACTATGTTTTTTGGACATGTTTAGTGACATCTCATAGCTTTGGGCCCGTTTCGCTCACAAGCTGCCTACGTGCTGTGATGTTTTTCTGCGTTTCACAGGATCATTTCCACGATTTCCACCCTTGGAGTAGCTCCGGGTCTGACAGGAGCGTGGGGAGCTTGTTTGAAAATCACCAAACTCAGCCAAACCCTGGAACTGGAGATCTACCATCTGTCAACTTTGTCAACCAGAAAAGCAGCCATTTACGGGGGTGATGTTCCATTTACCCATGGTTGTCGCAAGCTCAAGTGGCCATGGACATGATGGGACCATCGGGGGCGGTTCCGTCGAATCCTAGACATCCAAGATCCGTCACAGGAGTCCTCGGAGAGTTGCTATTTCCAGACTACGTCAGGAGCCCGAGTCTTTTTTCACCTCAACCTTCAAAGAGCTGGATACTGGATAGATACTGTGGTTACAACATGTTAAATGTCATACACTAGCCATGACTGGGAATGGTTTGGCTGGATGGTAACTGGATCCCACCTATGGTGATTTGGGATCTTCACCCGACCATGGTGATGGATGGTACCATGGATTTGATGAGGTGGCCGACTGGGCAGCCCAGGAACAATGCCTTCCGGAGATCTCTCAGGCGAATTTTTGAAAAAAACAACGGGTGGAACTCAGCATACTTTTTGGGTGTCAACAACTGACTATTTAAAGTGCGTTTTTTTTTTCTGAACGGGCGACGTTTTCTTTTCTTGCGGGTGATGGTTGAACGGTACAAACGGTTCCAAGTTCCAACATATGGAGATGCATTGAGATGACCAACAAGTCTATGGGGAAGCCATCTATCACTTGCATCAAGGAAGAGCCCGTGTTTGCCGACCAAGCCTTGAAAGACATCTTGGAAAAAGTGGTGGACTCTGGTGTTGTAGCAACTTGGTGTCACGACTGGCAACACCACTGTTTACACTTGAGCCCATGAAGAATACCCCTGTTGATGGGTTTCTTTATGTTTCTTTGGGATTAATACAAGACAACAATATATAACATATATATATATATATAACATATATAAATAACTATATATATAACATATATAAATAACTATATATATATATATAACATATATAAATAACTATATATATAACATATATATATACATAACATATATATATATATATTAATATTAACATACATAAATATAACCTATCAACGGTCAAGTATGGTCAAGTGAACCTTGGCAGCGAAAAACTGGACGTTGGCCGACTGGGGCCAGTCTGGTGGGACACCAGGTCTTCACCGTCTTTGTTGACACTCGAGATCGAGAGGAGGTACGCCCGCTGCATAGCGGCATAGCGGCATAGCGACATAGCGACACGACCATGGTACATCTCAGTAAGGGCTGAAGAACCCCTACAAAACAAGGTTCAGAGTCTTCTCCGATTCAGAAATTATCGAAAGGACGGCTATTGTTTTTTGGTGCCAGGTTTTGTTTTGTTTTTGGATTCCTGCTTCTCTGCTTTTGTGCTTTTCCTGCTTCTCTCTTTTCTGCTTTCCCGTTTTTGCCTTTCCTGCTTTGCTTCTCTGCTTTTCTGCTTGTCTGCCTCTGTGCCTTTCTCTTTTCCGCTTTTCTGCTTTTTCCGCTTTTGCTTTTCCTGCTTTTCTGCTTCTGTGCCTTTCTACTTCCACTTTTTCTGTTCTTCAGTCATGTGTTTTTGCTGCTCTACTTCCTGCTCCTCTGCTTCTCTGCTTCCTTTCTTTACTGTCTCTTTGTTTTTATTTTCCTTTGCTTTATTCTCTCCTGTTTGTATCCTAAATTTAACCCTAAAGAGACCCTAGATGAAACCCAAAGACGCCCTAAAGAAATCCTGATAAGAAACCCTACATGAAACCCTAAATAAACCCTAAAGAACCAAACATGAAACCCTAAAGACTCCCTAAATGAAACCCTAAAGAAGCCCTAAATGAAACCTAAATGAAACCACAAATAAACCATAAAGATACCTTAACTGACATCTTCAAGAAACCCAAAACAACATCCTAAAGCTAAAGACACCCAAAACGACAACTTAATGAAACCCTGAATGAAACCATAACGATACCCTAAATGACATCTTCAAGAAACCCAAAACGACATCCTAAAGAAACCGTAAATGAAACCCAAAAGAAGCCCTAAAAATACCTTAAATGACATCCTACAGAAACCACAAATGAAACCCTAAAGATACCCTAAATGAAACCCCAAACCATACCCTAAAGAAATCCTAAATGAAACCCTAAATGAAACCCTAAAGAAGCCCTAAATGAAGCCCTAAAGATACCTAAATGACATCTTCAGTAAACCCAAAACAACATCCTAAAGAAACTCTAAATGAAACCTAAAGAAACCCTAAAGATACCTTCAATGACATCCGAAAGAAACCGTAAATGAAACCCTAAAGAAACCCTGAATGAAACCCCGAAGAAACCCTAAATGAAACCCTAAAGGAACCCTAAAGAAACCCAAAATGGAACCCTAAATGACACCGTAAAGAAGCCCACATGACATGAAGGTTTGAAGTACCAACATGTAGCAAATATGATGCCAATGAAGGTTGAAGTGCCAAAATGTGGCAAATACCGTGCAAAATGGAGCGTGACCATGCCAACATGTACTGCAAATACCATGCAACATAACAGGTTCTAGTTCCAAACTGTTGCAAGTACAAGGCAAATGGTACCAGGAAAGAAATAAACATCCAAGAGCTATTCTTCACCCTTATAGAAATGGGGGTTTCTTAAAGTGGGGGATCCCCAAAACCATAGGTTTCAGTACTAAAATGGTCTAATGACTTGGATGAAAATCACTGGCACCTCCTGGGATGCATAGCAAATCTGTCAGGGGCGGCGCTTCGCACGTAATATGGACACATGGATGTGTCGTGTGAGGCGGGCGAAGCCTGGCTAGCTCTGATGCGCTGCTTTGCAGGTTTGATCAGGTTTGATGTTTAGGTTTATCTGATGTGAAGCCTACAGTAACATCTTATGCTTCATCATCATATTTTCATATATGTTTTAGTTGAACTTGCCATTTTACGTTATTTGTCGTGTGTCCAACATTTGAAGGCACGTCCATATTTTAGAAAAGGTCTTCGAAACTTGTGACACCAACGAAATGGGGAGCGAACATTTGAGATCCCAAGATACGCACGACTACACGTCCCATGAGAGCTGGGAGGTCTGTGTTGGCTTCGTCCTTCTTAGCCTTCGTAGATTCTGAGAAGTTGCGGAAGCACTTTGAGAGTGACATGGCTGACATGGCCAGTTTCTGGAAGAGGCAGATCGGCAGATCATTGACAACAAGGTGAGCATCCCTAGATATTGATCCTCATCGAATGTGCTAAACTTATTATATATATATATGTATATGTATATATGTATATGTATATGTATATATATAATTGTGAACATTTATATTAACCATCCCCAACATTTCCACTAATGGGTCTAGTAAAAGGTGTCGGGCTGGTAGAAACCCGCAATAAATTCTCAGTTTTTTTTATGACCTTCATGACCCGCTTAAGATGGTACTGACTTCTTGGTCGTCATGAGTTGTTGTCGTCATAAGTTATTGTGAAAACTGCGCTAGCGGTTGTAGCGTTGTTCACAAAACACCTCATCATGGATGGCACACGCGTTGATGCTACGTTAACAATTGGGAGTGGGGGTGTGGGGGAGGGCCAATAACGTTCTGTTGCCTTGGGTTCTTCCAACACGCTCTTGATGCTACTCACTGAAGTAACTTGCAGCATGCTCTTGGCGTTATGATCTTATCTCACGACACACTCTTGATGCTACGCTCTTTTCTTTCTCAAGTAACTTCCAACGCGTTCTTGATGCTACAACACGCTTATCTTTCTCAAGTGACTTCCAACACGTTCTTGATGCTACGACACTCTTATCTTTCTTAATTGACTTCCAACACTCTCTTGATGCTACGCTCTTTTCTTTCTCAAGTAGCTTCCTACACGCTCTTGAAGCTAGGCTCTTAACTTTCTCAAAGTAACTTCCAACACGCTCTTGATGTTACCCTCTTTTCATTCTGAAGTAACTCTGAACACTCTCTTGAGGCTACGGTCTTATCTTTCTCAGGTAACTTTCAACACGCTCTTGATGCTACCCTCTTTCTTTCTCAAGCAATTTCTAAGTTCTTTCTCAAACAGGTTCTTACGTTGGGACATGCTGGTTTGTACAGGAAAGTCACTCAGCAAAAAAGAATAACCACGCATGTCAAACTTCATACTCATTCTTCCATCCTTCAAAACAAAGGTAGTTCGTAAAGGCCTCAAAATGTGGAAAAGCATGAATGTACTGTAAATACCATGCAACATATGTAAATCTGCTCATGACAATCAAAAAGTCGCGGGGGTTGTACTAGCCCGACGCGTAGTAAAAACCATCCCCCAATGGTAGGTGTATGGCATTGGGTTTCCCGCAATACCTTTCTTTGGTTTTGGTTTGTTGATGTTCACCAAATCACCAGTGTTGGTTTCCCCACCAAATGGAGGATTTCTGGGTCGCACTTTTTGGGAAAAACACATTTAGTATCATTTAGTTAGGGGTTTGTGGTGTCCAATTTGCTTTCTTTGCCATTCCTTCTTCGGACGACCAACGCCAGTCGACAAGTATTGTTCGGACGGCTTGAATAACTTGAATCGACAAAGTGTTTTCGCAATCATGCTCCGCATGTGTGGTGTTAATTTGCCATGTTTCATGGGTGGGATCCACATGTTCAATGGTGAAATCCAAAAATATCCAAAAATGGTCGGAGGCCCACCCCCAGCCTATTTTGGACAAGGCCAATACGGCGTTTCCGCGTACTTCTCCAAAGAGTGGATCAAGGAGCGGGGCGTCGTTTCTGCAGGCACTGGTGGAGTCAATTTTCCCCGGAGGAGGCCTTCAAAGGACGTGGAGATGGTGAACGACATGACTCCAATTATTGGCGTTTCTGGGCTCAAGTCATGCCATGCCCACCATGCCCACCATGCCCATGCCCACCATGCCCACCATGCCCACCATGCCCACCATGCCCACCATGCCCACCATGCCCACCATGCCCACCATGCCCTGTCTGAGGCTGGGTGGCGATCCTTGGCTGAAAGAATTGGGAGCATGAGTTTCTGAAGCCACAACTGCCACATTTTGAACGGAAATTTCGCGGGTTTTCGCAAGATGTTCAGACAATCCCAATGCCCAGGATGGAATCCATTCTGCGCGCGGGATACAGTGCTTTCTATGTGGATACAGAAGCTCGCAGCGAATTTGACGGCCTGAAGCTGGATTGAACGTTGGGAAAACCTCCAAACAATCCCATGAGCAAAGGAATAGTTTAGTTTGAAAACTTTCGAGTTAGGGAGGATGGTCATCCTCTTAGCATTCACACCATCATCATCATGTCAACCCCATCATCATGTCAACCCCATCATCATGTCAACCACATCATCATGTCAACCCCATCATCAGGTAGTAGGGAAGTGTCACAGTTCGGAAGCGTGTGAATTCACGGGTGAAAACACTCTCGGTCGCGAAACCCCGTGTTTTTACGGGTATGGTGGCTCCTGGGGTCGCTCGCCAAAGTAGGGTCTCTGTTTGAGCGGTTCCGGGCCTCGATCTGGAAAATTTGTCCACAAAAAGTGCACAGGCAGCGAGAGCTCGATTGATCGGAGCAATTTTGGAAGATGAGGTCGGAAAAATGTGCACCAGACTGTAGCGAGAGCTCGGCTTCACAAAAAAAACTCATAACTGGCATGTTTGGAGCAGCCCCGGATTTGTGTCCTGGAGTCCGCGCTGTTGACGCTGCGCGACGCGACGCTCCTCCTGTGTGGGTTTGCAACCGGTCGTGGCAAAACGCATTAGCACGACTGTAAAGCATGAGTGATGTTGCGGCCCTCCTGGCAAGCGGGATTGCAGTTGGAGGTTGCTAAACGCGTTGTAACAGCTGTGCGAAAGGTAGCTCTTGACCATAGCTTGTGCTACGCGGGATTGCAGCTGGAAATGGCTAAACGCATTGCAGCCGCTGCGCGAAGAGAAGAATCGGGTTGCAGAAGCTACAGAAGAGCTAGCTGGAGGGCAGATCAGATCAGGATCAGGGAACAAGTAGCTCAGATACGAGGTGTTCAGAGAAGAAGTAGCTGAGACAAGAGCGAAGAGGTCGCTTGGTGAAGAAGTAGCTCAACAAAGCAGTAGCTCAACGAAGCAGTAGCTCAACAAAGCAGTAGTTCAACAAAGCTGTCACTGTAGCTCAACAAAGCTGTAGCTCACTCATCCATCCATCCGTTCATTCATCCGTTCAACCATTCTTCACTCACTCACTATTCATTGCTTCACTGATTCGTTGATTCATTCATTAGGTCATCGATTCACTAATTCACTCACATTGTTTTGTTGAGCCATTGATTCTTTGATTCGCCGATTCATTGATTCATCGACTCACTACATCACTCATCCATTGCCTGAATTATCGATTCATTGGTTGACGTGTTGATTCGCTGAATCATTGACTCTTTGGTTCGTTGGTTGGTTCGTTCCTTCCTTCCTTCATTCCGTTTCATTCCACTTCATTCCATTTCATTCCGTTTCATTCCATTTCATTCCATTTCATTCCATTTCATTCCATTTCATTCCATTTCATTCCATTTCTTGCCACTTCATTCCATTTCATTCCATTTCATTCCATTTCATTCCATTTCATTCCATTTCATTCCATTTCTTCCATTTCATTCCATTTCATTCCATTTCATTCCATTTCGTTCCATTTCATTCCATTTCATTCCATTTCATTCCATTTCATTCCATTTCATTCCATTCATTCCATTCCATTTTCATTCCATTTCATTCCATTTCATTCCATTTCATTCCATTTCATTCCATTTCATTCCATTTCATTCCATTTCATTCCATTTCGTTCCAGTTCGTTCCAGTTCATTTATTCATTCAGTACTCATTCTTTCGTTCGTTCTGTCGTTCGTTCATTCATTCGTGTCAGTGGTTCATCGGATCATTCAGTCTCTCGTGTGAGGGTTCTTATAATGTCATTTCATCCGCATCTAAACCACCATTTCCACATTCGTTGATGCACTACAACTTCAACAAGTCATTGTTCTTTTTCTATAGGCCATTGATTTCTTATAGCCATTTCATTTTTTTGAAAATTCCGCCCCCGCATGGGTCAGGCACTATCTGGTAAAATATGAATCATCATTGATAATTATAGTTTCCCTGTTCACATGGCAATTTGATAGGTATCCTCAAAGTTGCTCACCAAATTTTGGAGAAAACCAAACGCGCCACCGGATTTTTGGCAGGTAAAGAAGTAGGGAGAGATTCATTCATATAACAAGGGTTTGCTTTGAAATACATTCCCCGGCAAAGTAGCCAATGTAGCTGTATCTTGGATATCCACCATTTTTGGACCCACCCTGGCACAATTTGGCCAATAATTGGATGGATTAATATCACGTTTCACAGTAATACCAATGATTTTGGTGAATCCAAAATTGTTTGGGGTAAATCTTCCAATTTTGGACAAACCCATATGCCATATGAGGATTGATTCCACCAGCATAATACGATCCTCGCCTAAAAGGTGTTCAGCATTGCTACTTCACTGTTTTCACACCCTGAGGTAGGGGCTGCGTAAGGAAGACACACGGAGCATTCAACTTGGATTACGACATAGCAAACAAAACAACATAAAACAACAATCATTAGTGTGTTCCAATTAATGCCTCTGCAAAATTCATGAAGTGTCCCCGGAAGCATGGAAAAACCATCAGCCCCACCAGTCCCAAGGATATCATGTGGCTGGGTGATCCCAGACCGCACCTGGGGGCGCTCCCAGTTGCTGACTTCTACGGTTTCTGGCCACGGAAGATTCCCCAAAGCAGCCCATCAAACGATGGTCTTCCTCGAAGCACTTTTCAACGTCCCAAACGAAACCTTGGTATAATATTGGACATATTCATCTATATACAGCAACACATAAGGGAGTTTGATGGAATACGATCGGCGGGATTGAATTTCACCCTTTGCAAATTTCTGTCCCAGGTTCTTGTGACACCTACGACGCAGGCACAGGCTCAGTTCGGCCAGACCCTTGGCCCTCTGGACCACCACAGGTAAGCAGCTGGTGGTTGCTATGATTCCTAATGGCGCTCTTGCTTTAGGAGACCTTGGTCTTTCTTTGACAAACAAATTGCTGACATATAGCAATAGGTTGACACACACACACACATATAGAATATATATATATACAATATACACACATTTACATATATACATACACATAACAAGACACAACAGAACCATAGCTTCTGATCCTTGTCAAAGGAAGTTTACAAGTCGATCTTCCGACTTGTGGACAGATGCAGCAACAGTGGTAAGAGCAGCTAGAGAAGAGAAAGAGTCAGAAGTGAAAGAGTCAGTCGAAAGAAAATCAGTAGAAAGAAGACCAAAGTCCGCGAAAAGGTAGTAAAGTCGCGAAACATTGTGTTTTTCACATGTTTTGTGGCTCCGGGAGGTCGGCAAGTAGGCTTATTAAAGCGGCGGGTGCAGAGCCACCTAGTCAGAAGAGCGCTCGAAAATCGCATAAACTTGCACAACACTGTGGCGCGAAGCAAATTTGGAAAGCAACATGCTAAACAAATTTCAGGTTCGAACCACTTTTGGAAGTTTAGATGTCGAAAAAGTGTACGCGGCTGTGGCACAAAGCGTATTTCAAAGTCAAAATGGTAAAAGCACACCATTCTCGGACCACTTTTGGAAGTTGAGATGTTGAAAACGTGGTCGCGGCTGTGGTGCGAAGCCCATTTCCAAGACAAAGGTCAAAAACATGTCAAAAAATGCATGCGGCTGTGGCGCGAAGCACATTTCGAAGCGAACATGGTCAAAGGGCCGCACGTTCGGACCACTTTGGGAAGTTGAGGTGTTGAAAAAGTGCACGCGGCTGTGGTGCAAAGCGCGTTTCCAAGACAGTTTAAAAACACCTCATATTCGGACCGCTTTTGGGAAGTAAGATTTCGAAAAATGCACGCGGCTGTGGCGCGAAGCACATTTCGAAGCGAACATGGTCAAAGGGCCGCAGGTTCGGACCACTGTGGGAAGTTGAGATGTCGAAAAAGTGCACGCGTCGAGAAAGTGCACGCAGCTGTGGCGCGAAGCACATGTCGAAGTTAAAACTTGTCAAAACACTACATGTGCGGACTAGTTTTGATAGTTTTGCACGTTCAAGCGTCATTTTTTGTGGCAGACGCAATGGAAACGTGTGGGTCTTGAACATGCATGTTGCGCGGCAGGCCCAGTACAAGAGACATCTCCATCTACAACAACCGACAACTACAACTACAGCTACAACTACACCTACCGATGCAACTACAACTGCAAATCCGTTACACCACACTACAGTACAATACACTACATTACACTACACTACATTACACTAAATTACACTACACATCACTACACTACATACACTACACTACGCTACATTACACAAAATTATGCTACACCACACAACACGACCCTACACTGCACGACATGACACGACACTGCACTGTACTGCACTACACTACACTAGATTACACTACACTACACTAAATTACACTACGCTACACTACGCTACATTGTACTACGCTAAATCACATTACACCACAGCACACCACACGACACAACACGACACTGCACTGCACACACTGCGCCGCGCCGCACTGCACTGCACTGCACCACGCCACACGACACGACAGGACACGACACGACGCTACACTACAACCGCACTACACTACGCTATGCCACGCTACAACTACCACTACCACTACAGATACAACTACAACTACACTACAACTACAACTCCGTTACGCTACTTTACAGCTATAACTACAACCATAACCACACTACAGTACAACTACAGTGCACTACGTCCAGCAGTTGTGCATCCGGTGACCACTGCAACCACTCCACAAAGCACAGCTCCAACCACCTTCCGGTCCATCAGTGGGTTCGGGTTGCCATCACAACAACTCACCTCTCCTATAGGTTTTCTATCTTTAAAACTTCCGCCACTGCCTTGTTCGGTTCTACTGATGATACTGATGCAAATCGCAGGTGATAAAAATGGTGTGTGTATGTTTGTACGGGAATTTTTGATGGTTTGGATCCTCAGTACCCCACCCCAGGTGGTACCAAAATGGCTCACTGGATATGGAGCAGTTGCGTAAGGAGATCCTGCGGAGATCCTCACTGGGCGATGTCGCACAAGAATTCCGGAGAATTTTCCCTTTCAAATTTGGACCGTTGGACGGTAGAAACCCCTAAAGACCCGGCTAGAATTCTGCACCTGGTTTGTTTGAGTGGATTTAAACATCCCAAGTATCTACTGGAGATGCAGGAAAGAATTTTGGATACCTTCTGTGACGTGGCAGGAATCGAAAGAGCACGACGACGAATCGGTTTGCTGTCAAGGCTTTTTGGTGCCCGTGAATGCTGGGATTGTGCTTATGAGGCAGATGGGGGGGGGAATGGATGGGATGCATATGGAACGGCTCCGCCACATCAACTCCCGAATTCAAATTCTCCAGCAGAAAGCCTGTGGTGAAAACAGCTTCGGGATACGGCCATACGAGCAAAAGGCAAAACTCCCCGTTACAATAAGCGGTCTGTTTGGGAGGGAGCGCCGTGTGCAAAATCTGCACTTGAGTACAGTATTTATAAAGCATTATATAAAGCAATCGATCGAAAGGTTCTTGTAAAGAGTTTTAACTGGGAAGACCGTTCATGTCGGGAACCCTCGCGAAAGTTTTTTTTTTTCGAGTTCCCGCAAGTAATTTTTTTGTTCGCGAAAGTTGGATACTATGAACTTATGAACCGTATATTGTAAACATATACAACTTGTAAAGGGCTACCACCCCCTACCACCCAGGGGTCCGGCAGGAGAAGGGCACCTGAGAATTTGGTTTGGTTCTGGTTCCGTTCACTGTGTAA